GCTTTAGCATCATAAGAACATAAATAGCTGTTGTACTAGGTCAGACCAATGGCTCGGTGTCTTGTTGGCCAAAAGTGGATGAACAGCAGGGAGTATGAGAATGCAATGAGTTTATCACTGTACTCCTTGAGAATGCTCTCACTCTCCAGCATTCTTCATTTGTATTCAATTATCCTTCTCCAGCATAGTTCATTTGTAGCCAAAAATGGTACTGTTGTGCTAAAAATCCTTTGGTGGATTTTTCTTTCATGGATGTACTGAATCAATTTCTGAATCTATTTAAACTTTTCATCTCATTATAGCTTCACCATGCATTGCATGAAAGCAATTTTTGACACCACTTTTGTCCGTTTTAAATCTCGTATTTTCTAGCTTCATTTCCTATCTTCTGTTCTAGAATCAGAGGATAGCTGAACACTTTGTCTAAGGAACAATTAAACAAACCAGGTGTCCTCACTGTCTTTACCTTTTATATTTTATAGCCTTTTTCTAACATGGGGCAGGACCATGGTAATAAAGGTGTTACCACAGCATTGCTTTTGTTGTGAGAATAATGGTATCTGTTTCATTGTTTCTTCCTCTTCTAAACATTCCTAGCAGCTTTTTGATCACTACCAAATATGTCTGTTCTATAGCAGAATAGCAAGCATTGAACACAGCTCTATACTTTCAAGAGCTATCAAAGGATCAATTTTAACAGGATGAGCAGCTGAAACTGTGACAAGCACAGTGAAGACCTGTATAGTGGGAAGTGGGAAGAGTGGTCCTCAGTCCCAAGCTGACTGATAAATACCAGATCATGGCTTGCATTTGGATTTCATACATGCAAGATTCAGAAGAATTCTTCAGTGCTGGGGATCAAGCTGGGAATGCTCAGCGTGGCTGGTTGATGAAAACAACTGCCTGTCCCTCATCCCCACACCCCATCAGAAAGTATCTCCCTGGCAAACACTAATTGCTTGTCCTATACATAGGCACAGGTCTTTCATACTTCATCATTAATAACTTAAGGAAGAAATTCTTTCCTGTAAGGGTGGTGAGGCACTGGAATGGGTTGCCCAGGGAAGTTGTGAATGCTCCATCCCTGACAGTGTTCAAGGCCAGGCTGGACAAAGCCTTGGGTGAGATGGTTTAGTAGGAGGTGTCCCTGCCCATGGCAGGGGGGTTGGAACTGGATGATCTTAAGGTCCTTTCCAACCCTAACTATTCTATGATTCTATCTTGTATTTGGCCTATCCTTAAAGGAAAAACAGGCTCACAGATAACTTCTAAAGAGAAGAAAGTTAACTTTCCCTGAACACTCACTAATGGAGGATAGAGCTTTCAGAGCTGAGACCAGCAGCTGATTGTACCCTTTGCAGTGACCTCTGTTTTCATAATCTAATGGCTTTGCATCGATATATGAAGGTGTTTACATCTTGAGGCAACTGCTGAAAGTGGTTGAGGGCAACAGTAAATGCAGTCAAGCATTAGGCAGGGTCATTATAAGAAAGCAGGAAGGTTGTAATGAAATTCACTGCAATATGAAAGCTTCAAGAGGTTACTTCATGTTCCACTTTGTTCTGCAAAATATAATCCAATACAGATTAAAAATACAGGAAGAGGTAGAGTTATTCATGCACAGCTGCAGTTTTGTAATCCAGCTGTGTATTATAGGCTCCTCTAAGATTAGGGGATTTTCCATCTAGGACATCAGTTCAGTTCCTAGTTAAGACAGAAATTCAAATATTCACAGTATATGTGAATTCACAAAGGATGTATGTTCCTTTCCATCAATTGTTGGAAAATGGTGTTTTCCCCCTGCCCCCTTGAACTGGAAAAGCAGCATTGCTGGAAGTGCAGTGGCTCAGTCAGGTTATTCCCTTGGAGATCTTTCAGCATGTTTTGCAAAAGAAAACACGTTAAGCACAATCACTGGGCTAATTTTCCATCTCCATAATTATATTTGTCTAGTTCCCTTCCCTGACTATTCCTACTGGATACAGTGTTTTTCACTTACTGTCTGAAACTGTTCTGTAGCAGCAGTGTCAAAACAGCTGCTACATTTCATCCCAGGGCACTTGGATGATCCTTATGCTATAGTTAGATCTCCTGGTTCTGTTTTTCTCCCATTATCCCTGATTATGCGAAGTGCCTTCAGTAAACCCTGTTTCTACATGCAGGTGATAAACAAATTCCCTCCTCCATTGCCAGTTCCTTTCATAAGGAGCACTTAGTAAAGTCAGTTTGTATTTTACAGGCAGTAAATACCCAGTGGTTTTCCACTGAAGCAAATTCAACTTGTGCATGGGTTATCCAGTTCTCCCCTTCCACATGATCTACCAATCTGCTTAATACACCAAGAGCTGCCTGCATCCTACTTCCAAAGACTCAGCACAGTGTATCTCAACCCTGTTTAGTAACTTTGAGATCCAGCAGCAAAACCTGGAAAGGGCTGTGAAGTAATTACACAGAAGATGCCAAAAGCTTCCTTGACTCCCTGAGAAAGAAGGAACGTCAGGATGGAAAACTGATGCTTACATATCTGGTGCTGGGATGCCTTCTGCCAGCTCATGCCATATTAGTAAGAGGGTCAGCAGGGAGAAGTTAGAGAATGTACAGATAGAGCAAAGAAGGAAAGAAGAGCATGTCCCTGTTCCTGTCACTGCCATGTCCACCTCCCCTGCTGTGGCTGCAGGAACTTGATTATGTATTTTTCAGTGCATGTAAGAACCAAGATCCCATGTGCACCAGATGGAGAGAAATGAGAATTAAACCCTTGTAGAAATAAGAGTGATGAAGCTCCACAGCGCTGAAGTATTTTCCTTTGTGGGTACCACAGCCCTGTAATGATGGTGGTAGAGGCCCAGTGCAGAACCTAATCTTTGCCAGCATATTTACTACCCATATAGTGAAAGACTGGCACTGCTACCCACCTCCATCTGCTGGTCTCCTTTCTAATAGCCACAAGCTCTGAGAGTGATGAACTGCATAACTTTGGCCCAAAGCCACTTAAGGCACATTCCTTTGGGTTAAAAATAAAATAAAAAATTTGTATTTTTAAGATCTAGTTGAAGTCCATCAAGATAGGCACTTACAGTGCAAATACGTGGAGTGTTTCCCTGGACAAACTTCTCTTTGGGCAGTGTGGTTGTCAGTCCCCTGGCAGAGCCAACCTGCCTGGAGCATACTCTCCAGTTCTCATTGCCGTATGAGACATTCTCAGATAAGGGGAAGGCACATTTAATTAGTCCCAACTGACTGAAACCTATATATGTCTCAGCTGGAGTCACAACTTAGCAGGCAAGTGTCACATGCTAAGACATGAAAAAGTGAGACAAACGGACCACAGGACATCCTGACCAACAACAAACGGCAAGCCTCACTGACTAACAGCCTTCGCTTGTGGCCAGTGAATCCTTTACAGTGAGTTCTTCTGCCATCCTCTGCATCTGGCTCATGAAACTGTGCAGCACAAAGGTGACATATTTGAAAAATCACAGCAGTCAGCAGAAGTTTCCAACAACTGGAAAAAGGGAAATATAACCCCCAGTTTCAAGAAGGGAAAAATGGATGACGCAGGGAACTACAGAGCAGTCTCACCTCTGCGCCTGGCAAAATCTTGGAGCAGATTCTCCTGGAAGGCATGCTAAGGCACATGAAAAACAACAAGGTGCTTGGTGACAGCCAGCAGGGCTTCACTAAGGGGAAATCCTGCCTGACCAATTTGGTGGCCTTCTAGGATGGGGCTACAGAACTGATGGACAGGGGTAGAGCAGTTGATGTCATCTACCTGGACTTGTGCAAAGCGTTTGACACTGTCCCACACGACATCCTTGTCTCTAAACTGGAGAGACATCAATTTGATGGATGGACCACTTGGTGGATAAAGAACTGGCTGGGGCTGCATGCAAAGAGTTGTGGTCAATGGCTCAATGTCCAGCTGGAGACCAGTAACGAGTGGTGTCCCTCAGGGATTGGTGTTGGGTCCAGTCTTGTTCAACATCTTTGTCACTGACATGGACTCAGGATTGAGTGTGCCCTCAGCAAGTCTGTGATGACACCAAGCTATGTGGTTCGGCTGATAAACTAGAGGGAAGGAATGCCATCCAGAGGGACCTTGACACACTTGAAAGGTGGCCAATGCCAACCTCATGAAGTTCAACCAAGCCGAGTGCAAGGTCCTGCACCTGGGTTGGGGCAATCCCAAGCACAGCTACAGGTTGGTCAGAGAAGAGATTCAGAGCAGCCCTGCGGAGAAGGGGCTGGGGGTTGGTCAATGATAAACTGAACATGAGCCACTTCAGTGTGTGCTTGAGCCCAAAAGCCACACATCTGTTTCTTCTGAACAGCTGAACTCTTACAAATAAGTTCGTTTCCTCTTTTAGTGCAAAACTATCTTCTCACTATCATTTAATATTAACTACACAGGCACTTCTTTCAGGAAGAGAAAACTAAAAGAAGCTTTGCAGAGGTGTAACATGGTCCACAATGGACCTTATGTTGAGTATTTGCCTTTAAATCTTTCATAAAAAAAACCAGAGGAGACTGGGCACGTTCTTTATGTCATCTTTAAAGGCCATACTACACGCACCTTAGGAATAGTGCAGACTCATCACAGACGTACCTTGTGTTGCAGACCACAATGGATTCCTCCCTCTGCTTTGTCCTTCCACGGCAAAAGAAAGGGTGACCATGGTGAAATGGTGGCAGTTGACATCCAACTGGGAAAGCAAAAAAATACCCAAAAACCTTTACCAGCAAGCTGGGCGGGAGTCTAAAGCTTCCTTTTTTTTGTGAAGGCTATGACTGAGCAGAACAAAAAAGTATTTTTCACCATCTTTGGTACAGTCAGTGAGAGATGGAGCAAGAAAACAGAGTGCAACACCAGAGCATAAAGAGGCTGGGGTGGGGGCAGGGGAGAGGGAGAGGAAGAAAAAGGGAGAGACAAGGACAGTGGTGAGGCACAGGACATGCGGACAGAGAGAAAAAAAGAAAAGAGGACAAAGGGTTCAACAAATAAAGTGTCAGCTCTGTAAGGAGCGACCAAGAAGGAGAAAAACTAAAACCAGAAATGGGCCAGAGGACAGAGACGGAGGAAGAGAGAAAAGGGGTCACAGAGCAGGAGAGAAAGGGAAAAAGGGAGAGGTGGCTGGATGGGGAGGCATAGCAAGGAATGAGGGAATGCCTGCTCTCCAGGCATTCTCATTTCTTTATATCCCTCTCTTAAGTGGGTCTCAAAGATGAATGACTCCAAGCTGCTGGCCGATTTTCTCTCTTTCCTGTTTCTCTAGATCTCTGATCATTAATTCTGGGAGTCTAGGATGTAAAGAGAACAAAAATCAAAAGTTGCAAGTGCCTTTAGCTAAACAGCACACCATATACCGTCAGCTTCTGATGACAGCAGCGCTATGTGAGCCACCACCAATTCCAAAACAATTCACTTCCTTTACCTGGAGCTTTAACCCGGCAGAGCCACTCCAAACATCCTTTTTCATCAAGCTCTTCAGTTTGCCCTCCAGCAGGTCAGGCACATCATTTGCAACCAGTTCCACAGGGGTCTCCCAGACAATCTTCTGCTTCTTGGGTGTTTCTTCCCCTCCTCTGTTTTAGTAACTGTGCTGTCACCGGACCTTTTGGATGGTTCTTCCACTTTCACAGTTTCTCTGTTTCCTTTGGGATCCTGTAACAGAAAAAGTACATTCTCAGTCAAGGGAACAGATTTGCAGGTGTCGTGGCTTAAGCCCAGCCGGTAACTCAGAACCACGCAGCCTCTCGCTTGCCCCCTCCTTCTTCCTCCCCCTGCTCCCTGAGGGATGGGGAGGAGAATCAAAAGAATGTAACTGCCACGGGTTGAGATACGAACAGTCCAGTAACTAAGGTAAAATACAAAACCAGTACTGCTACCACCAATAATAATAATCATAGGGGAATAACAAGGGAAGACAATACAATTGCTCACCACCCGCTGACCAATATCCAGCCTGACCGGAACAGTGATCTGGGCCTTCTGGGTAACACCCCCCAGCTGATATACTGGGCATGACGTGCTGTGGTATGGAATACCTCTTTGGTCAGTTTGGGTCAGGTGTCCTGTCTCTGCTGCCTCCCAGCTTCCCCTCCTCCCTGGCAGAGCGTAAGACTCAGAAAGTCTTTGGTCAGAGTAAACATTACTTAGCAACAACTAAAAACACTGGTGTTATCAGCATTGTTCCCAGGCTGAAAGTCAAAAACACAGCACTGCACCAGCTACTAAGAAGGAGAAAAAAAGACTGCTACCGCTGAACTCGGGACAGTGGATTTTCCAGCTTTTTCCCAGTTCAGGGGACAAACAGGAAAGAAGAGTTTGCCTGAGGAAATTCTGTGAGAGAAAGAGCACTGCCTTCACAATATCTGGGACAGGGCTTTGCAATATTAAGACTTTGCAATACTGGGGCTGGGGCTAAGTTATTAAGGGAACAAAACAAAGGGTTTGAAATACCATGACTTAAACAGACATACTCTGTGCTTAAAGAAAACGTCACCTTCTGGTGACAGACACACTCTGTGATTCAAAAGAATGCTATCTTTGTACAACCTATAAAACTCAGCTGGTGCAAACTGCTGCTGTAGTTGAGCAGTAAGTTGGGGTACCACGTGTGTGCCAGAGAGATATGAAATTGAACCCTAAAAGGAGATAAATAGAGAAATTAGAGGAAGGGGCATACAAAATCGAGTAAGGGGAGGTGTAAACAGAGGCGGGACAGTTAGCATGTAGATTATATGCGCTGGAGAGGCTGTAAACCTTGGAGTACCCAACCAGTGGGGAAACAAGGGAGGGAACTTGTGGATGGGATAGGAAATACAAATCCAAGCTCTGCCTTTGCTGTGTGTGCCTACTTGCCAGGACACCTGTTTTTGCACAGACGTTCAATAAATAGCTGCTTCACTGCTGTGTCTGACTGAGGCCTGCCTGAACCTAGCGACCATTTCTCACCATACAACTTTTCAGACACCAAAATTCAAGACCCATTCCCTGAGCAGGATGCTCACCTGAGACTGCAACTTCTCGCCTTCCTCCTTTTTCTGGGACTCTGCTCTGGGAGGGGCAGTTTCTTGCCTGACCTGGAGACTGATGCTTCTCTTCTCCCTGCTCTTCACTAGCATCTTCCTCACTGTTTTTCTGGTCTTGTTTCTTCCCCTTTCTCTTCTTTACCCATCTCTGCCAGGCGTTCCTCTTCTTCTTCCTGGTCATCACAGGCAAGCAAAGGGGAAAACAAAACAGTTGTGTATATTTTTAAATATAGAAATCCCACACAAGTGTTTCCCTGCAAAAAAATGTATGTGCAAAACCCAGCACTCACAGTGACTGCAGCCATTAGTGAGGGCCTGTGCCTGAGCTACAACAGTAACTAAGAGTCATCTCAGTGCAGGATGTGACTCCGTGACGAAGCATGGAGCCTGCTGGACACCTGCACAGACAACACACGGCCAGGAGCCTGTCCACAGAGCACCAGGACAACCTGGGAATGAGAGACTTCCCCAGAAACAAGTCCTGAAACATTTTCAGTTCATCCTCAAATAACCTCCTGTGACACCACACTCATTTTCAGCCACACGAAGTGACCAGTCAGGTCATACATATTTTATCCTGTAGGGTGCTGTACGCATAGCCTGCACACTGGGCCATCCACAGCTGTCTCATCCATTAAAAGCACTAGGATTCAAAGGGCATTTGTAAAGCTTTAATGAGAGAAACTCCGTTTAGTTTTTAGATGGCAGAAAATTCTGTGAGCAAGCCTTAGACCAACTGCTCCCACATCTAAAGCCTTCAGCTCGATGGCCAGGGCAAATCAGCAGCAGAGCAAATAAAGATTCTGCCTGTTCTCAACAGACTGAGGCTTGAAATGACTTGACATAAACTAGAGAAGCACTAAAGCCACCCAGTCTCGTAACTTGATGCGTCTCCTGCTACAAGCACCTTGCAACACAGAACGAGAGCTGGATCAGCTCCCTCCCAACGCTGTCTCTGCATCTAGAATACTAAGCATTTATGAAGAAACCTGATGACTTTACTGGAGCAAGGCAGGTGTCCAAACCGGGGGAAACCAGGAGAGCAACAGCAGCAACTGAAATCCTCGCTGACAGTCTCGACAGAAAAGCAGCGATGAGCTGGGTGGGCTCCCCCAGGGCACAACACAGCAAGGTCTATTTGCAGAACGAAAGGAGGGCAATGAGCCCTGCCCCTGCTGCTGCTGCAGACCTCACTGCTTTCATGGCGAGAGAATTTCAGTCTCCAGATCTTTCAGCATCTTAAAGCTACGGTGAACAGTCTCATTTCCAAACTAACTGCAAGTTTAGATCAGAGGAAATAAACAGGGAATTCCTTGGCTAGTTTCTAACCGGGTACTTCCATCTTCGTCCCTTTTCCCATCAATGAAGATAACAGTGTGAATTAAAAGATCCTCCCTCCGGATGACTCCCCCGTTTCTTTACTGCCTCCAGTGGGTATGTATGGAATACGCCTTTGACTAGCTCACGTCCGGTGTCCTGTCTCTGCTCCCTCCCAGCTTCTTGTGCCACTCCTCACCGGCACAGCACGAGGGACCGAAAAGTCCTTGATCGGGGTAAGCGGGACCGAGCAACCACTGAAACATCGGTGCGCTACCAGCGTTATTCTCAGAGTAAAGGCGAAGCTCAGGGCTGCACCAGACCCTAGGAAGAGAATTAACTCTGCTGCAGCTGAAACCAGGGCACAGGCAGAGAGACAAGCACAGTGGCACGGCGCAGGATGCCGCGCCAGGAGACTCCGAGGCGCCTGAGATTCATCAGGGGAGATGAAGGCAGAATCAAGCGCCCTGGGGGCTCCTGACCCGGCCCGTCTCAGGCAGACCGCAACCCTGCCGCACCGGGCGCTGTGAGGCTTCCTGCGCCGGGCGGCCAGCGGGCAGGAGACACCCCTCTGCGCCCACCCAAGGGACGGGCGGGCGGGCCCGATCCCCTCCCCAGTAACCCCGGACCCCCGGTGGGCTCGGCTCTCACCTGCTGCCGCCGCTGCCGGGACCAGAACCCTGCCCGCAGCCATGCTGCTCCCGGGAGTTGCGCATGCGACACCGAAACGGCGCGCGGAGGGAGCGGAACGGGTGCGCGGACACCGCGATGCGGCCACGAGCACCCCGTGCCCCCGCCGACACTGGGGTGCCACTGCTCACCGGGAGCCAGCAGCAACGCCGCTGCACCGGCCACTACCGGAGACAGCAGCGGGGACAAAGTGAGCGCCACGGCCAATACGCGGAGCCCGGGCTGCAGTATCGAGCTCTGGACACAGGGCGGCAGCAGCGAGCGGTGCCTGGTGTCCCACCGCGCGCTCCTCCACCTGCTGCACCCAGTTTTGCGGGGGTATCCTCTCCACCATCCCCCGCTGCCTCAACCCTTGCAGACCCAGAATCAAGGGGTTTGGAGTATTTTGGGGCCACCACAGCGGCTCCGGCTCCACAAGCACAGCCCGTCATAGAAAGGGCTTTTGGGGGGAATCAGCCCCAAACCAGCCCTCTTTTCAGCGGTCCCGCCCCAATCCTCTACTCACCTGCTCCTCTGCCGAATCATCGCTCCCCCGACCGGTGACACGGGGGTACCCCAAACGACACCATCCGTCCCCAGATTCCCCACACTCCCGTTTTTATTCCCCCCCCCCCGAAGCAAAAAGAAACAAACAAACAAAACGGGAAAAAGCCCTCAGCGAAGACTGCTCCAAGGAGCACTCCCCGGAGGATGGGAACTGGGCGGGGAGCGGGAGTTTCGGAGCCCGTCGTCTCCGCGGTATCGAAAAAGTGAGAGTGTGCTGCCACCATGTGTCCAAACGTGGTACTGCAGGTGGCAAAGATAGGGAGGGGTGGGAGTGGCTGCGGGCGCCGCTCGCTGCTGCCGGCGTGTGTCCAAGTCTCGGTACTGAAGAGAAAGCGGTCCGCTGCATGGCCCCGGGCAGCGCGCGTACCCCCTCCTCCTGTCCAGACATGTCCTCGCCGTCACGGCGGCCGTGTTTCAAGATGCCGCTGGCGAGCGTGGTGCCGGTAGAGGTTTCGCTCTCGTCCCGTTCCCTCCTCTCGGGGCTCGCAGCCTCCCGGGACCCGGCCGGGTCCCCTCACCCGGCATCGCCGCCCAGCTCCTCCGGGAGCTGCCGCCGCCGCTGCTGCCCGAGCCCGGCATCTACCTCGTGCACGGCACCACCACCCTGGAGCCTTCAGGATACGGACACTGGGGGGACAGAGAGAGACACCTAAGGACCATAGAGAGATGTTGGGGGGTGCTGCGACATATGGAGAGCTCATTGAAACTCCATAGAGACAAACTGGGGGTGGGGGTATGGGCATAGAGACACATAGGGACCCATTAAGAGACACTGGGGGGTGCTGGGACCCATAGAGACCCCATAGGCTTACAATGTGTAATGTGTGGGGTTTGTTCATCAAGAAGTTTGGGGGGAGGGAGGCTCTCTGTGGCTGTCGTTATGTGAAACAATACTCCTTTTTGACTCTATCTGTTGTACTCTGTAAGTAATGGGGGGGAGGTCAGTTGTATCGTTGCACAGGATTGCGAGAGAAAAAGGCTGGGTGGCTCGAAGTGGTGTCTTGTTGCAACGCTGGAGGGGAGGACGCTGGCAGTGGACGCTTCTCGAAGCCTCTGGGAGCTTCTCGAAACTTCCCAAAACTTCTCGGTAATGAGACCCCTGCAACAAAGAGAACCAATGGAGAAGAGCCGTGTCAACATCCGAGTGAGGAGGGGCGACAGGATTGGCTGGGGCCTTGAACCGAAAAAGATAAAGGACCACCTCCCAGGGACCGCGTGTGCGCATCTTGGGCGGAGGGGGGGGACTCCTCCGCGCACCCAGAGCTGTTTTATCAGCTCTCGCTTCCTCAGTTTAATAAAACTTATACTTTAAACCGAAATTGGCTACAATATTGATAACAAATTGGTGCCGTGACTCGGATGGAGAAATTCTGACGGGACTCACATTCTGGGGGGGGGGGCGCGCCGGGCGCGCCCCACTCTCAGGAGTGGCCCCCTGTTTGTGGTTCATTCTGCCAGCTTCTCCACCGACGAACCCAAAATTCGATAGCAGATAAAAGATGAAGCCGGCAACACCTTAATTTTGTGCACGAAGCCCGAACGAAGAGGACAGAAACGAGGACGTGAGTATACTGCGAAACTGAGATCCGTTCGGTTGGGGTTGGGATCCCGGTGTGTGCATGAGTGAGACGTCCAAGTGCGGACGAAGCGAGTGTGGACCTCTTAGTAGTGCGGTTCCCATCTCCCGCGAGGGACTGGGCCACGAGGAGAGGGCGTACGAAAGACTGAGTGAAACAAGGCACACCGGAAGATGGGACAGACAAAGAGTAAGGGTTCTGATCCCATGGGAGGCTCTGAGGAGAGATTAAAGTTATCTCAGATACCTCCAGATAGTCCTTTAGGTTTAATGATTAAGTATTGGAATGATTATCCCTCAAGAAAAGGGAAAGACAGGGCAAAAATGATACAGTATTGTATGGAAGTATGGGGGGGTAAACCGATTAGGACTGATCACCTGTATTGGCCAGTATATGGGTCTTCTGAAAATTCGGTATGTCAGGCCCTGAATATCTATGTCAATTCGAAAAAGCCTTTTGATTTGGAAGAAAGTGAATATGCCCAATTGTGGATAGGATCAGAGACTAGAGCCAATCTATACCCCTTAAAAGAAAAAGGGGGACAAAGACTAGGCCAGAGGAGGAGGTTCCCATGTCGCCCCCACCATATATACCTCCTCCTCCTCTACCTCAGCCTTTGCCCCCCACCCGAGACTCCCTCTAACGTTCCAAGTGTTCCATGTGAGGACCCGGAGGCACCCCCCGATACTTTTGAGACCGAGGGACCGGTCACACGAAGTAAAAGCAAGAAACAAACTGAAGCCCCACTATACCCTTTAAGGGAAATATCAATGGGAGGGGCACACCCAGAAATGGGATATTTTTCAGTACCCTTGAATTCAGCAGATGCTAGGGAATTTAAGAAAGAAATGGGGACTTTGCTGGAAGATCCCTTGGGGGTTGCAGAGAGAGTGGATCAATTCCTAGGGCCTAATGTATATACCTGGGAGCAGTTGCAGGCGATATTGGGGATTCTGTTTACAGCCAAGGAGAGGGATATGATCAGGAAAGCCGGTATGAGAATATGGGACCAGCAACACCAACAGGGTCCCACAGCTGATATAAAACGGCCTCTACAGAGACCTAATTGGAATAACCAAAATGAAATACATATGCAATATCTGAGGACTATAATAATCCAAGGTATAAGAGACTTGGTCCCCAGAGGCCAGAATATCAATAAGGCTTTTAGCGAACATCACAAAAAGGATGAAACCCCCACAGAATGGCTGGAGCGTTTGCGAAAGAGTTTCCAGCTATATTCAGGAGTAGACCCCGACACGCCGATTGGGCAAGCATTACTTAAGGCCCAATTTGTAGCTAGTTCATGGATCCACATTAGGAAAAAATTGGAAAAGTTTGATGATTGGCAGTTTGATTAGAAAAGATCTTAAGAACATTGAAGCAACTGGGTGAGCAGTGACACTTGCAAAGGATATTGCTAATGGTTTACTGTGAACAAAATTTATGGCTGTAAATGGACTGTAAAGTTCCTTACCTCTGTTTTCATTGGCACACAGCTGCCAGCATTTCAGTTTTGGTGTATTCAGTAGCTGCTTGTATGTTCTTCTGTCCAAGCAGACTCTTGCAGGATTAAACTATACACACAGATGCAAATGCTCACAGCAGTGTTGTATCTTATGCTGATCGCTACCCTTCTGCATGATCTTGTTATTCAAAGGTTTCTGTTGATCTCCTGTAGCATTAGGAAGACTTTTTCCTCTCAGTCCAAAGATAACTCTAAACTGAAGAGGAATTTTAAAGAAAAGGGGCTGTTGTCTTCTACTGATCAGAAAGTCTTAGTTCCTGTCTGATCACATGTTTGAAATTTGATTATGCATGGTTTTGGAGTAAGCAGCCTTTCAGATAAATTTAGCAGAAAGCAGTAGATCAGATTTTCCTACTGGGATCACCTGAAGATAATCCTCACAGGCTCTCTGATCCATGTTGTACCATTGAAGAAGCTTGGGACAGTTTGATGTGTCTTATTCTAGTGACAGTAATGCTTAATTCAGTTTAAATTTGCAAGGTGGCTGTTGCAGCAGACAATGATGATCCCTTCTGATCTGAAATGTAATGAAAACTGCAGTAAATTTTTTAAATGTCCTTGTGGAAAAGGGAGAGGAAAGCAAACAACATGGGTAGGTGAATGTTCATGGGAATAGCTTGTCATCTTTTAATCCACTCAGTTGTTTGAGAGCTACATGTTTGGTATATTATAAGGGCATGCTCTAATCCACAAGAAGATATGTATCGTTGGTTTAGTTTGTAGGAGGAAAAGAAACACAGCAGAAAAATAATGTAACAGAAAGAGGCAAGTTTGTCAGGCAAAGGAAAAAAGCAAGAAAAACGGGAGGAATAGAAGCAGAAGTTAGATAATAAGGGCAAGAGGTATGAGAGCCCACAACAGTCTGTTGGAGTCTTTCGACTTAGACCAGGCTTATTTAAAACAGAAAAAAATACCTCCTTTTTGTCAAGAATCACATTTACCCCCACTGCAAACTTTCCTAATTGTTTCTTGAGACTGCAGCTATGAATTTGAATTATACTGTGTATCACAAATAACTGTATTAGAAGAATGCCATCAATTAATGAGCCCTAGTTGGAAAATAAATGCATGGTTTTACTGTGTCTTTTTTTTGCTTCCATAAATACCTTAATGTGACCATTAATGGAGTCACAGCTGTTTTGCTGGCCTGATTCATTACAGTTTCACAGTGACTCTGCTATTTGACAGAAAAAAAACAACCCCATGTCCAAGGTGACAAGCAAAAGCAGCAATGAAACAGGAATGAATCTCATGGAAGAGGATTCAGTCTCTAGTCTTCTAATTTCTAAATGAACTGCAAATATATGACCTGTCTGTAGCAGGGAGAAGAGATGCTGAGTAAAAGAGGCATTATTAATAGGAAAGAATCAGTGACATC